GTGTGTGTGTGTGTGTGTGTGTGTGTGTGTGTGTGTGTGTGTGTGTGTGTGTGTGCGGAAGATTACGCGTTAAAATCTAATGTTTTTTAATCGCCACGACATTGTTCCATTGGCGACAGGTCTGAAAAAGAGTCGTGATCTCGGCAGCTGCATTGTATTCACGAAGGATAGCGTGCATCGCAATCACAGGAAGTGATAAAACTGTGCGAAACGCCCCACAATCCATGTTAATGCTGTCTAGATGAAACATATTGTTAGGATGCAGGTGGTCGTTTTCGTAAATGCTCACCTGCAATTTCCATTCACCGTTATGATAGGTGTCGGATAACCAGGAAGTCTTATACAATAGTTTTTTCTGCAACAGCTCGGATCTGGTGGGGGGATTGCTCCAAATAATGCGGTTTTTGTTTTTGTTTTTTCCGAACTCGTCAGGGCTTGTTTTAGGGAGAAAATCTTCTAGCGGTAGTAGCGCAGTTAGAACCAGCCAATCCTCGTATTTAATAACGGTGAGAGGAGTGGTGGTTGAAAACTGCTCGTTGTCGCGAATCTGATAAAAACCTACCTCACCCCGGTGGAAATTAAATACATAACCCACGCTCGCAGTGAATCCATATTTCTCTAGGGAGAACTCTCTGTGAAGAAGATGTGGAGGCGGGACCTGACTCCTAAATATAAACACGTTATTTTTTTGGGAGCTCCTGTGAGGTCTTCTCCTTCAGGTTGTTAAACGGAAACCGGGGTGAAGGTACTAATTCGTGCATCCGATTCGAGGCGCGCATTCTGTTTATCTAACTCGGTCGACGTGGCCGCGTTTCTGGTTCCTTTCCCCGGTTGTTCTTCAGCATTTTCGGTCGGTGATCTGCATCTCTTAGACATGATTGTGGTTTTTCTGAAATAGAAAGAAAAGACAGACAAAAAAATAATTTAAAATCAATTCGCAACATGTGAAATAAAAACATTATAACTCTGAATAAAAACAAATTTACGAACCTGTTAATTTAGTTTATGCAAAAAAAACTCTGCTTCTGTTGCTGATGCGCAACGCTGCTGGAACACAACGGCAGGGCTTCTTCTTCTTTTCGCTGATGACAGACAGAGAGACAGAGTACATTTAAAAACTACATAAATACATTAAACAGAAGAAAACATAATAAAAATTTACGAACTTTTAAATTTACTTTACGCTGCTGCTGGTGCTGCGTAATGCTGCTGGAACACAGCGACGGGTCTTCTTCTTCTCCCTGATGACAGACACACAGAGTACATTTAAAAACTATATAAATACATTAAACAGAATAAAACATAATGAAAAAATTACGAACCTTTAAATTTACTTTACGCTGCTGCTGGTGCTGTGGGGTCTTCTTATCGCCGATGCAAGTACTGACGGGTCTGGAACACAGCGGGTGTCGTCTCGCTGATGGAAGTATTGACAGAATGAGACGCGTTCTTCTAAGCGTATCACGCACCGAGGAGGGGCGGGATCTAATGCATAAAACACGAGCTGATTGGCTGAGGGGTGGGGTCTAAAGCCTAACCCTAACCGCTGATTGGACAATGGTTCACATTGATGGAAACTTTTAACACTTCTGACAGTTATCAGGGAGGGGAGTGTGACAGACAGGTGGGCCCTGGAAGGAGGGTGGCAATAGATTAACATCTGTTCAAAACAGGATGTTCGTGGTCAAGAAGGGAGGGTGAACAGACAGGCGGGCTGTGGACATCTGTTCAAAACAGGATGTTCGTGGTCAAGAGGGGAGGATGAACAGACAGGCGGGCTGTGGACATCTGTTCAAAAACAGGATGWTTATGGTCAAGGCTCACAGTAAATCGAGGGGGAAAAGAGGGAGGGGACGGTTACGGTAAATCAAGGAGGAAAGAGGGAGGGGTAGGGTTACAGAAAGTCAAGGGGGGACTGAGGGTGGGGGACGATTACGGTAAATCAAAAGAGGATGTCACGAAATGGAAGTTGACCATATATGGAAGTCCCCCGAGGAAGGAGGGGCCAGAAGTTGACCATATACAGAAGTCCCGCAATAAAAGGCCGGGGCACCTGTCACTTTTCGTGTGACGTCATTTGACGAACGCTGGTGTATTATATCTCTTAGGCACACTTGGGCAAGCCCTTTTTAAATTTCTTCAGAAAATTTCTATTTTTATTTTTTCATCCATATAATTCTAGCAAAAAGCAAAATGCCTATGCTGCACTACTAAGTGATGAGAACCTCCACATTAACAGCATAACTCATTGGCAAAACAAAATACAATAATAAAACAGACATTGAAGCCAAGGCAGCACGATTGCCTCCTGTAGGTGAGCTGCTGTATAAGGTTAAATCCATGTAAATGACTGACTGACAAAATAAATAAATACACCTCAGATCATTTTAAGGTTTTAGGTATTGATTTCTGTTATTTTTACATGTTTTCCTTTTGCTGCATTTTCAAATATATATTTTTTAATTCTTTGCTGTTGTAACAGAACTAATACTTTTATGTATAAGCTAGTTATTCATGACATACTTTAATGACCTTGGTTTTCATGACATGCTGTTTATCTGCAGATAGATTGATTAAAGTCAGAACAAGAAATGCTAATAATAGTCATTCTTAGATATCAATTGTGTTTATCTTTGTGTTTTCCATTGACCTTGTATCAAATCTTGCTAAGATGACAGAATGGTGTTTGTATATATATA